TTTAGTGACAAATAAGGCGTCAGTTTTGCCAGAAGTGGACAAAATAATTGTCTTAAAAGAGGGATCCGTTTGTGATTTCGGATCATTTGATGAACTGATGGCCAAAAGTGGAGAATTCGCTGAATTTATTGCTGAATATGTCATTAAACAGGAATCTCAAGACATCGATGAGAAAGAGATGCAAATTCTTGCAAAACTGAGACAAACAGTAAAACCATTGATTGAAAGGCAATTGTCCGTCAAATCTAATGAAAGCGATTCTCAATCACAAAATGTGTCAAAACCTGTGTCTATAAGCGATACAAATACAGAGAAAACACCTGAAAAGTCTGAAACAAATAGTAATACAAAACCTATTGATAATAATGAAGACGAATTGTCTGATGAAAGTAAAGGCAAACTCATAGACAAAGAAGTGTCGGCCAAAGGAGGCATCAAAATGAGTGTCTATAAGAAATACTTTGGTCTAATCGGCGCCTGGAGTTTGGCCACAATATTCGTGGCCTTTATTGTGTCAAACATCGCGAACGCGGCGTCGGGTCTATGGCTGAGCGAGTGGTCAAACGACGCGCTAAAACCACGCGTTGGCAACGGAACGGATCTACGGGTGTATCGGCTCGGGGTCTACGCCGGCATCGGTGGGGCCGAAGTGATTGCCCTCATTATCGCACAGTTATGGCTACGGATACGGTGTATGCGAACTAGTAATCAATTGCACGACCAGATGATCGGACGTGTGGTTCGGGCGCCCATGTCTTACTTCGGTCAGTAAATATGCAAAACATGTTATTGTGGTTACTGTTAATTATGATACCATTCCTCCACAACAGACACGACACCAATCGGGCGATTGTTGTTCCGATTCTCGGATGGAATCGACACTTTGGATGGTTACGTGATCTATGTATTGGATCTAACGTTCATTAACTTCTTTATGATGACACAGTCTTTGATAATCATATCATTTGAGACACCATTAGTACTGCTGGCCATCGGACCCATTATTATAGTGTATATAATATGCCAACGGATATACATCTCGAGCTCCCGACAGATCAAACGCATTGAATCCGAGACCCGATCGCCGATAATAAGCCATTTGAGTGAGACTTTCAACGGAACGGCAAGTATTAGGGCGTTCGGCGCCGACCACTGGTTTGTCCGGCAGTCGTACCGACGGATAGACGCCAACAATCAATGCGTTTATTTGGATTCTTGTGGCGAACAGTGGCTAAAGATTAGGCTCGAGTTCTTGGGCTCATTGATAGTGTTTGTGTCAACCATTTCTGCCGTGATCTTCAGGGATCAGTTGTCGCCCGGTTTGGCAGCGCTAGTAATCAACTACTCATTGAACATAACCTTAATTTTAAGTGCATTTGTAACTTATATCAGTCATACCGACAAAGCTATGGTTACCGTTGAAAAGTGTATGGAATTAACACAAACTCCTCAAGAAGTAAATATCTTTGTGTTAAGTTGTGATAAAATACTTGTATTAATGAGTGTTTCTATACATTGAAAGGCCGAGTGGTATAACGAGAAGACTAAACCCGCGGACAACTGGCCGACAATGGGTTGCATTGAGTTTACAGACTATTGCACTAAATATAGAGAGGGTTTAGATTTAGTGCTCAAAGATATAGCAATTGATATAAAAGGCAGACAAAGGGTTGCGATCGTCGGCCGCACCGGCGCTGGAAAGTCGTCCCTCGCGTTGGCTCTCTTCAGACTCATTGAGCCGACGACCGGAACCGTTACCATCGATGGCGTCGACTGCTCTACCATTGGATTACAAGACTTGAGATCAAAGCTAACGATTATACCTCAAGATCCGGCGCTTTTCTCGGGAACTTTGCGCTATAATTTGGATCTTTTGGTTCAATACTCAGACCTTGAGATATGGCGGGCCTTAGAGTCGGCACATCTGAAGACATTTGTGGAGTCACTGGAAAGAGGTCTCAATCACGACATCGCAGAGAACGGCGAGAATCTAAGCGCCGGTCAGAAACAGTTGGTCTGTTTGGCCAGAGCTCTACTCCGACGGACTCGGGTTCTTGTCTTAGACGAGGCGACTGCCGGTCAGACACTAACCTTTCACCTGATTTTCATTCATAATTACAATTATCTTATATTTTAGCCATTGATATGGAAACGGATGACACGATTCAGAAGACAATCCGTGAAGAGTTCGAGTCGTCGACAATCATAACAATAGCCCATCGATTGAATACTATTATTGATTACAATTTAGTTATAGTTTTAAACAACGGATCGATCGCAGAGTCGGGAACACCGGAACAGCTCTTAGCGGACAACACATCCATCTTCTACTCAATGGCCAAACAGGAAAAACTTGTTTAAAAGTTATGTACATTTAAATTTTTTTATTAATAATTATAATTGAATTATTTGATCAATAAAAATACATTATTAATAATCACAAACAAAAAGCAAATATATTTTAACATTATTTAAAATAGGCTTATTTACATGATTAAACATGATAATTCATAAACTATGTATTTATATTATTAAGAGAAAATTAATTAGCGGAATTTTAAATGCAAAATGATCACTTTATTTGATAGTAATAATAAAGGCAACATTGGTGATTTAAATATTTTAGAAACTAGCAATCCTAACTTTTGTAACTAACTTTATTAACAATGTCAACATTATTACATCTTTCATGAATATTAATAATGACTATATTATGGTCACAACCGATGATTCCGTAGTAGTAGTGGCGGTGACTCTGGCGGTGGAAATGATTGAGACGGCTGTGAAAGCGATTCAGTGGATGTGATGGTGGAGGCAGTTGTCAATCGTCTCATTGTCACAATCAAACGCAACTAAATAGTTGTTAATTTATATTAAAGTCTTTCAATGTTAAACATGCTTTGCTCTTGTATATTATTAATATACAAGTGTCATTAATATTGATTTTATCACAAGCATGTTGCAATAGTTTAGTATTGTGCCAAAAGTCTATCCCAAACTATACATTAATTGTATTTTACATTAATTGTTTTTTAAATTAAAATATTTATACACTACTTATACTGTAGATCTGTTTAAACATTGTTCATTTTAGATTACAATTGATGCAATATTTTACTATTTATTATTAATGTAAAACTTGGTTCAGTATTACCTTTTGTTATAATTATAATGATTAAACGGATGCTATTTGAATTCTTTTGTCGCTAGTATAAAAACATTGTATAATACAATAGTATTTCATATTTCAATATGCCTCAATGATTCACATAAAACATGCAAAATAGCATCAGTTAGTGATTTGCAAGTGATTATCAAGATTGATTATAACTTATAATTGAGTTAATTATCAAATGTGATGACAGCCGCGAGTAATGAAATATTGATACTTATGGTGATAGTGGGCATCATTGCCATATTCAGTTGCATTCTGCATAATGCCTGTAACAACGGTTGTGGTCAAAGTGGAGGTGGCGGTGACTTTGGCGTTGATTCCGGTGGTGTTTATGATTTCGGTGGCTGTGGAGGCGATTTAGACGGCGGTGGATGTGATGGAGGCGGTGGTGATGGCGGAGGCGGTGATGATGGCGGGGGCGGAGGTGATGGTGAAGGGGGTGAATGAAATGTGTGACATACAAATGTAATATCAATAATAATACATTTATTAAGGTATTGGTAATGATAGGGTCAAGAAATATTTTTTGCAATACAAACAAATACAAATAAAATTTTATTAAAATCATGATATTTGTTATGGCCATTAAGACAGTGAACACGTTAATTATCATGGTTGTTCATCACAAAAACCTATTTGTTAGCTTTAATGGCAATCGTATTATAACTGAATTGATATTCATTAGCGTAAAAGTCCTCAAAACAATTATATTGTGTTTCAATGGGAACGCCGTCTCTCATAATTACATAGATTTTGTAATCAATTAAAACAGCAGTTAATTCACAGCAAAAATACGAGTCAATTCGGGGCAACTGTTGTATAGAGTGACCAGTTGTCAAAAGTTGTACAGTTTTTCCGATAACATCTCTATCCTTATCGCGATATTTGCCGCAAAACCACACAAAATCAGTGTTTGTATGAAAATATGCCATACATTGGGTCAGACCGATGGCCTGGATATCCATCAGACCTGCTATAAGCCGTGGTTTTGCCACAATATCATCATTAATATTGTGTCCCAATTGGTGGCCAGTATTACGGCCCCAACTGAACACCTGGCCATCCGTTGTGATGGCAAATGAGCACCAGTTGTGACAATAAATCGTTTTAATTGTATAATTTGCGCCAAAATCAATGAGCGCCGGCCTGTAAACGGCCACCCATTTGCCCCCACAGCCCACTTGTCCCCACTCGTTGCCACCCCATCCATACACCCGACCGTCACCGGTGAGAGCTAGGGTGTGCTCAAAACCGCAACTCAGCTGGATCACATTTTTACCCTTAAAACAGGCTAGTAGCTTTGCCTTGTGATATTCACCGCGGTTAAATAGTTTATTAACACCAACAGGTTTGCTGGTCACTCTACCCAACTGGCCGGCGCTGTTTTGGCCCCAACTGAACACCTGGTTGTTTTCAGTCACCGCTAATCCATAGTTATATCCGTTGACAAAGTAGCGGATCCGACGGTGACTTAAACTCCGGATGATTTGAGGGCTAGTGATTGGCCGGTTGTGTCCCATAGCCAGACATCCGTTGTAATTGGTTCCCAGACCGTAGACCAAGTCATCGGTGGTCACGAATAAGACATTTTCGGCGTTAATTGTGTGAAATAATATGATTTTTTGCCGCATTTCTTGAGGTATGTGTTCACAGATTAAGAAAGGCTTTAGTGATGAACACATTTTTATTTCATTAATATAAAAATAATTGTATATTGTTTTGTTAATTAAAAAATAGTGTTATAATTAAACTTAAAAGTTTGTAAACTTTTGACACAATTTTAATTGAGTAAATAATTATATTTTTTATAATAATTATTAATGTGTTTTACTATTTTTTGTTTTGTTAAATAATGAGAGCATTTGTTAAAAACATATTTTTTATGGCAATTATTATAATCTATTGGAAACCAATGGTTGCCAAATAATGTGTTGTATTTTGTGTTTTAACTAGTTCTTGTGTGTTGGTACTTATGATAATAGTTAAACAATTTGTATTTATCACAATATATTATTTACTTTATTAGACAAAAATTACATTGACACATTTATTACAATTAAATAAAACATTTTTATTAAATAGTTATCTATCTCAAAACATTCCCAATTCAACTTGGTAAAACTTAAGTAAAGTATTTACCAACGATAAACTTATACAAGTTATTCATTGGTATTGTTCCTTAGTATTGAATAGATTTTATTTACAGTTTAGCATTTACATGTATAATTATAATTTGTATTATTTTTAATTATGCTAATTATTATCAGATACTATAATCAGTGTAATGTATATATTAATGCCACTAAACTAATCACCAAACGACACTTTAAATTTATAAATTAAATTTTATATAAAAATTATCAATGCATTAATAAAGTATAAATATTTTACGATAAATATAACGGAACATAAAAATGTAATTAAAGTTGGCAAATATATTTATTTATTATAATGTGATAAATCAAACATGCTATACTAAATTATATTAATAAGAGCTAGTTGATCTTTCAATTCACTCGGTATTAATAAATATAAATATTGTCTGAGTTGTAGCCGAAATCGTCTGCTTAACCAGAAATAAACCACGGAATAAAGCAGATTGCTCATAAAAAATAAATGAAACAACACGATTACATTCTTATCAATTGAGCATGGTTCATTTAGATCAGCGTAATAATATATTTTCAACATAAACGAATAGAAAAATACATTAGTGGTCACAAATTGCCATAAAACCAAAACGATCCTGAGTAAAACTTTCAGCTTTTTGCCATTTGACTGATTACTCCAATAGTTGATTATGGTTAAAAAAGTGAAATATGTAATTACAATCGCAGGTAGTATAAATTGAAACGTCATGTTTATAAGTAGACAATGTTTATAAATAGAAATCAACATTGAGTCTGGGTGATTTATGTAGCGAATGGAAACGTGCGCGTAATTAACATAATCAGTGTAATGTATGTCCAAATTTATCAATGATGGTAAACTAGTTATTAGACTCGCCGCCCAAATGATATACATCCAGGTCTTTGTCGATATGTTGTCCAACGGGTTATTAAATACGTTAATTAATGAGAAATACATATCAATGGACAGCACTGTTATTGTATAACTCGTGGCACACAACAGATTATAGATTAAATACTGTGCGATTGTTGACACGATATACATGTAAAACGGGTGCGACTGTAAAACGTATTGATTGATTAATGATAGTGATATATAAAATTCACCCAACATTAAAAACGTATAAATGGATACGGTGGTCATCAATAATTTAGGTCGCTTGGTATTTAGATGAGGTGGTGCCTTATTATTATAATTATTTACTAAAATCACCAAGATTATTGTGCCCATTATTAACGCCTCTATAGATATTACAATACCTAATAGTATAATTTCGTAGATATTTATTGCAACTACAGACTTATATATATCCGTCATGATTTTGCATCAGAATAATATAATTTTATTTTATTAAACTTAAAAAATTTTGATGTACAAAAGATACTGCTTAAATATAAAGAATTAACCATTATGCATAACCTTGTATTGATAATTTACGCAACTAATAATTATTTATGATACAAAAACTTATTAGACGCTTGTAAAATTTTATATTTATTTAAATTACTATTTAATTAATTATTTAATTATTGTATTAATAATTTAATTATTTAAATTATCGAGAATTATTAATTAAAACGCTAGAAATGAATAATATTAAAATATTCGTAATTAAAAATAATTTTATTACCATACTATGCACAATACTAAAATAGTTAAATGTATAAAACATTTTTAACCACTATTCTGATATGAATAATGTGGTTTATAGGATCGTTCGGCTACCCCCTCCCCCTCCCCCCGCATTTCCGATTATATCGTACATTATATATCATTTACAGCACATTCTTTCACTACACTATACGTACACATTATATAACATTTTATACAAAACT